ATTTTAAAGACAAAGTCTAACAATTGTAAATATATGTTAAAAAAATTTATTTTAATTTCACCAGCGGTGAAATTGAAAAGAGAATCTGTGATGTAGAGGCCTAATGCATTCTTTGATTGGTATTTCTTTAGTTTACTAATCCAAGCTGTGCTGATGAGCCTTGAATAGGCATAACTGCAGTCCACAGCAGAAGATAGGGCCAATCAAAGAATGCATTAGGCCTCTACGTAACAGCTTCTCTTTTCAATTTCACCTCCGGTGAAAAGGAAAACAAATCTTTAACATATATGTATACAATCATTAAACAGTTGGTCTGCTGTATAATATCAAATAATAAATTCAATGAAATGCCATAACATTATTCACTTACCTAAATTTATTTAGGTTACTATATGATGAAGTAAAACAGACTCAAAACCCCATAGATAAAAGTCTCATAATATTCTTGAAAAACTTGAATGAAATAATACTGTTAATAATTTAAAGCAAATTCCCAATATTCACATTTTGCTTGTTGGTAAAGTTAATACTACTGTCATTATGGATTGTTCTGAGTGCAATAAAATAATATTTTAGTTAAAAAACAACCCTGAATATGTATAATTGTTGAACTGTAATCCCACCCAAAGCAGAGGGAATTATTTTAAAATATTCTTGTTGGAACTAAAGAAACTTATTAGATAACTGACACTATCTATACCTTACTTAAACCTTACAGTTCATGTACACCACATTTTTGACTGAAGACATCTCATCAAGTATATCTTTCTTTTCTCTTTCAGTCTATGAACACCACAATTTTAACTGTAGACAAAATTACTTAGTGACAATATGTATACTCATCTTGGTCTTTCCAGTTTAAATTTTAAGGCCTACCCATGAAACTGATTGTTCCATTAGTTGCATGATATCCAGTTTTTAAAATTTTTAATTTTAGTTGAAATATCTCGCATGTTTCATTTTCCCTGTATGTGACTAGAATACCATCTTATTATGCTATAAAATATCACAAAGAGCAAGGGTATCCAACTGATGAATCAACTTTAAAATCATTATAAGTAAGAATGTAAGTACAGTCTATTTAATTAGCAGTACTTACTACTGGGTTGATTACTAGCTCTGTTCTGTGTAGGTAGCTTGCTTTGAACAGAATTTAGTATTAATTATACGCTGAATTAATACAAAAATTGATAAAAGATTAATTCAACTATTCCACCACCCCCACTCCTAGTTAGTTTTTCACCAGTATATGTATATCAATGCCTTTTGTAAAGTCTTTGCTGTTTGCTTTGGAATACATTACTTATGATACCTGGTACCTGGTTGAGCTCTGACATTATTGAACTTTGCCACTATTAATACTAGTTTTCAATTTAATGGCCTTAATTTCAAGGGGTAAGGATGAAGAACCTGGTTTCTGCTAATTTATGTATGATAAAAGTTTAAGTCAGTGCCCTTTATCTCTACACTTCTGTCTTTTTTTTTACTTCCACTGGCAACAGTTTAGAAGATTCTGTCTCTTTGATCACATCAACACTATTCATCCAAGCTTTCAGTTTACTAAAGAAGATGAATTAGATCAACAACTTTCTTTTTTTAAAATAGTTTAGTTCATCAAGTTTTACCTAAACTTACATGAATTTGATTCTACATTGGGGTCCTGTGTTATGCTTGCACTCAAAAATTATCCACTCTCCTCTACAATGCTGCTTTTTTTATAGCAAAAATGATTCATGAAGAAAAAATTAATTAATTAAAATCTTGTTTCATATTATACAATGGATTTTTTGAACCTTTGAAGGATGATGTAATTAACAAATTTATGCATAATTATTTTGAAAAAAAATGCTTAAATCAGAGTAAACTAATTCCTTCTTCTGTTCTAACATATCTCATGTCTCGAACTCTGAAAAATACTTGGTTCAGGATAGTAAAAAAACTTAAACTTTGTCATGTTATATTTAAACCAGGTCAGAAATTAAACATTTCTTTCAAATAAGTATTCCAATTCCAATTAATGTGGTTCTATTTACAAAATGTGCACAGGGTCATTTCATTAAACCGATATTGGAGAAATAATGTTGACTATAATTCTGAATTTATCACATGTATCTTCAAAGACAGTATGTGGCCAAAACTGAAAGGAAGATATTTTATCTTATATGATGAAATTCTATTGTATTATCCCAGTTTTGATTGTTAAGCCAATATATGTCCCTATGTGATTAGCAACCTTTGGGCTGCTACCAGTATGTGTGTGTGCATTCCATAACTTTCACTAAATGTTTTGGTTGATGGAATAAGCCCCATAATGAAGTTTCAGTGTACAATACTTTTTGAAGTAAGTGTGGATTGAAGAGGGATTGATTTCAGGACATCCAGTGGTCTTTCATTTTTTCAGCACAGTTGATGTGGGTACAAGTAAGAATCAGAAGTAAATAGACACCTAGAACATGTAAAATGTACTTTTTATATTCTGCAAGAAATAGACCAACAGAGGCATCATGCCTATCATGTTGTAATGCCTTGTGGCTGACACTTTAGTTTTATGTAAAACATACCATACTCTGAATGAGAGTATTATTTTGAGATACATTATTCCAGCTTCAAAGAGGACATCTTTGAAGGGCTAGAACTCTGCTGGGTTGAGAAAAGATTTCCAAAGAGTGACATCCATCAGGTACTAATGTGTTTGATTGGATTTAAAGCCCACTGTTGAGTCAATCTGAGTAACATAGATTCCTCAGTTATCCACTGGTACACTGAATCGTGCCCTCAACATATTGAGCTGTTCTGTAACTTGGAGCAAGACTGGAAGAACAAAACTGATTCCTTCACTGTCACACAAATATCCTTGTGTTTCATTCTTTACTGCAGCTGTTTATGAGCTAAATTAATTTGAGGACCTTCTCCAGATTTACATGCATTCACTGATTGGTGCAGCATCTGGAAAGCTTATTGCTTTTGTCAGAAAGATGTTGCCAACTGAAAACAGTGGTTTGTACCAGGAAGCTCTTTTATACTATTCCATGCTGCAAAGATAATGTTTTATCATCAACTGTCAACTAACTCATTAGAGCATCCTATCCTTATGTTCTAGCCTGCCTGGATGAGCTGGTGACATGGTTTTCTGAGTTGCTTTGAACAGCACATTCACTTATAAGGAGATTTATTGCTGTATAGATGTTGTCTGTTTAATATGACATGCCTATCTATACCACCAGTACTTGTATCCAAATACCATTTCTCTTTGAAGTTCTTTGAACTCCAATTTAGCTTTTTCTAGGCAACAGTGCACCATATGATTCAGTGGGATATCAACCAGAGATGTGTGCTATCCTGGTATTTATGATAATACCACGTACTCTTTATTGGATGTAGAAAAACTTTATATTAATCAATTTTCTTGACCATCCATGTAGATTAACTTTAAAAAAATCATACATCTGAACTCATTCATGATGTTAAGAAAATATGTAGGTTAAAAAAATCAATTGAACACAAAAATACAAAACTATAACCAGAGTGCTTTTGCAAGTGCTTAGGTTATATGGTTTTGTATTTATACATACATCTGAAACAATATGAAACCAACAACATGCTAAGATATCTGTTTATTTTTCATGGAGCTTTTGTTAAAATCTGTGTTACTGATCCCTAACTGCAAGCTCAAGGGTCATTGGGTGTTTGTTTCAGGGCTTTTCTGAAAATCTGTTTCTGATCTCCAGCCTTAAGCTAAAATGAATGTTTTTTAGTTGTCTGTTATTAATCACAAGATACAAGTTTTGAGAAGTAAACAACATTATTACTACAAATATATTATTTCAAACTCTTCAGTGGACAAGCTGCTGAATGTAAGGTAGTTTCATTGTTATAACCAGGACTGTGAATTTTGGAAATATCTACAATTTTAGCAATTAGAGATAAAATATGGTGATGTAAAATGCTATGTTCATTTTTCACAGAATTTTGGTTTCTTTGTCATAGATTTTTTGCTCGATAGTGAATATAATATTTAGGATATATACTTAAGAATTTTGAGGATATTTATATAGCCATTGTAATAGATTAATTACTTCACATCCAAATGACACAATTTTATATTTTTTGTAATATATTTGAAGTTTTTTATTTTGTTTACAGTAACAAGTTTACCATCTGAAGAGCCACCTAACCATGATGAGGGATGAGCTTTTACTACAATGGAAATGATCAGAAGAAGTGAACCTCTTGGTTCCAAGAACTTTAGTCACCACCTTACTAGGATCATGATGTATGTTGAAACTATTTTTCTCCTTTGGGGCATCTTTTGTGTTTCCTAATTATCTGTACAGCAATGAAGACAATGTGGTTAATCTTTCTCTGACTTTATCACTGAGCCTGTTTTCTTTAGCTTGTGAATACAAACTTCTTACATATCCTGAACAGCTGTCGCTACAGGGCTCAGGTGCTGTATTTACAAACAAGTGTTGCCTCTAAACACTGCTTTCTACAGCACCATTATATATGTTTCCAACTGTATCAGTAAGAGACTAGTTTAATGTTTCCAGTGAGATGTGGAGATTATTTGAAATTAGTTCAAGCTACTAATGTGTCCTTCCAGATGCTAAGACTTAAAAACTGGTACAGGCTACTAATGTGTCTGACCAAATGCTGAGACTCCTGAAAACTGGTACAAGCTACTAGTGTGCCCATCCAGATGCTGAGACGTTTAGAGACTGGTACAAGCTAATGATGTGCCTATCCAGATGCTTAGACTTTTAGAAACTGGTACAAGCTACTAATGTGTTTGATCAAATGCTGATACTCTTGAAAATCAGTACAAGCTACTAATGTGTCTGACCAAATGCTGAGACTCCTGAAAACTGGTACAAGCTACTAATGTGTCTGACCAAATGCTGAGACTCCTGAAAACTGGTACAAGCTACTAGTGTGCCCATCCAGATGCTGAGACTCTTGGAAATTGGTAAAAACTTATAATGTGTCCAGCCAGATGGAAACTACTACTATATCATAATGTGTCCAGCCAGATGGAAACTAGTACAAGCTATTAACGTGTCCAGCTAAATGGAAACTAGCACAAGCTAATAATGTGTCCAGCCAGATGGAAACTAGTACAAGCTATTAACGTGTCCAGCTAGATGGAAACTAGTACAAGCTATTAACGTGTCCAGCTAAATGGAAACTAGCACAAGCTAATAATGTGTCCCACCAGCTCCAGTGATTTTTTAATTCTGTACAACTGGCTGTGACTTTCATGGACATGAAGGTTTTCTTCGTGAAAAGACTTTTACGTCAATCTTTTGCCATCCTAAGGCTGGTCAACTCTTGTAATAAAGTAAAGCTTAATGCACAACATTGATGCATCTACATATGAAGTTTAACTAACAGTTTTTATAAGGTCAACAATACATCTTCCCAGTGAAGTTTAAGATTTTATAATGTCAATGATACATCTACCCAGTGAAGTTTAAGATTTTATAAAGTCAATGATACATCTACCCATTGAAGTTTAAGATTTTATAATGTCAATGATACATCTACCCAGTGAAGTTTAAGATTTTATAATGTCAATGATACATCTACCCAGTGAAGTTTAAGATTTTATAAAGTCAATGATACATCTACCCAGTGAAGTTTAAGATTTTATAAAGTCAATGATACATCTACCCAGTTAAGTTTAAGATTTTATAAAGTCAATGATACATCTAGCCAGTGAAGTTTAAGATTTTATAAAGTCAATTATAAAATCTTAAACTTCACTGGCTAGATGTATCAAGTCATTGTTACATCTACCCAGTGAAGTTTAAGATTTTATAAAGTCAATGATACATCTACCCAGTTAAGTTTAAGATTTTATAAAATCAATTATAAAATCTTAAACTTCACTGGCTAGATGTATCAAGTCATTGTTACA